GGTTACTTTTTCATTCTCGCATTGTGCGAACCGAGAAACCAATGAAATATTAAATGCGAAATCACTTTACTAATCAATCCAACATCATTTTTTTCATCTCATTATATTTATAGACATATGCACATCTGACTTACTACCTCAATATATGTTCATGTTTTTGCAGAGCCAGACAAATAGAGTACGTAGTTGGCTGGCTACATAACTACTAATCACAACATTATGGACATGCTAGCAACTAGAGCGACCTGGTTGGCCATAGCTATCTTCTTCATAACTGCTGTAGCCACGAAGATTTCAAGATGGAAAAGCAATGTCCATCTGTGCCCCACAAGACCACTTCCACCTGTCGTGAATGTCCTTGCTCTCTTACCTTCATTTTTTAACAAGGGTTTTGGGGTTACAATCGCTGATCTGCACACAAGACTTGGCAGTGTGTTTACAATAAATTTGTTTGGGCCAAAGATAACCTTGTTGGTTGGACCTGATATCTCAGCTCATTTCTTCCAAGGGTTGGAGTCGGAGATTAGCTTTGGAAATTTCGCTGAGGTTACCGTTCCCATATTTGGCCAAGAAGTTTTGTATGGTGTAGATATGGCTACTCGCAGTGAGCAAATACACTTCATCGTTGATGTACTAAAGCCATCCAAGCTGCGGAGCCTCGTTGATCCCATATTGCAAGAAGTAGAGGTACATCTAAAAGATACCTTCACTTTATTTTGACTCCCTACGGCTTTTCTTCTGTTACTATTTAATTTTTGTGGTTTCATATATTCTCCAATACACCTCTTCCAGAGGCAGTTTGCTTGCATAAATTTCCTTAAATTAAGTATGTGTGCTATAGATGTACTACATGTGATTTCCCAATAAAAAATACATGTGCATATGATGCAATGATGATATGTAGTTTTACTAAATTTCTTCTAAGTGTAGGTAAGTAGAGAAAAATAATAGAGTGTACGCAGTCCACTCAGTCCACAAGACAAGTATAAACTACTTGTAAAACAACACATTGGATTAGCAAGATGAGGCAGGTGTTGGACGTTGTTTCAACATTTGTCATTAGATTTGGATAGAAGATGTAGATGACATGAGTACTGATACCATGCGTGTGTGTTGCACTTGACTGATGGCTTTCTTATACTACAATGCAGGCCTACTTTGCAAGCTGGGGACAAGAGGGCATAGTTGATCTTAAACATGAACTCGAGCAGGTGCTCATGTTTATCTCAAGTCGGTGCCTACTCGGATATGAGGTTCGTGAGATGATGCTGGAAGAAGTTTCATCATTGTTTCATGAACTTGAGAATGGCTTAAACTTTTTTAGTTTCTTGTTCCCCTATATTCCAACCTCGACAAACCGCCGACGCGACAAGGCGCATATCAGGCTTAAAGAAATATTCACTACAACTATCAGGTCACGCAGGAGCTCCGGCCGAGTTCAGGAGGATGCACTGCAGAGGTTGATGAATTCCAAATATAAAGACGGTCGCTCTGCATCCGAAGCCGAAATTTGCGGCATGATCATAGCACTCATATTTGCTGGAAAGCACCCAAGCTCCAGCACTAGTATATGGACTGGAGCTTTCATGTTGAGCAACACCAAATTCTTAATAGCTGCCGTGGAGGAGCAAAAGCATATAATTAGCAAGTACAAGAACCAAATAGGCTATGATGCATTTTTAGAGATGGATACCTTGCATAGATGCATCAAGGAGGCACTTCGGATGCATACACCAGTGCAAATGTTAGCTCGCAAGGCACATAAGAAATTCAAGGTGCAGACCAAGGAAGGCAAGGAATATGACATACCTGAAGGGCATAACATTGTAATCCCTACAGCACTCAACAATAAGCTGTCACATGTTTACAATGACCCTCATGCGTACGATCCAGATCGGTTTGGTCCTGGAAGAGAGGAGGACAGAGTTGGCGGCAAGTACTCTTTCACAACATTTGGTGGTGGAAGGCATGTTTGTTCTGGCATGGCCTTGGCTTACCTGCAAATTAAGGTCATATGGAGCCATCTATTAAGAAACTTTGAGTTCAAGCTAATATCTCCATTCCCTAAGGTGGATGTGAGCAAGGTGGGTCAAGAGCCTAAAGGAAAAGTAATGATAAGTTATAACAGACGCCAGCTATAGTGCTACTAGTCGCCATTAGTACTAATATATTTCTACCTATTTTATTGCATGCCAGGATTTGTTCATGTGCAAATAATGTTTAATCCATCACATATATTGTCATGTGGGGGGCCACATACCAGCAACGACGGACGAGTCCCAATCTAGCCACTACTAGGAGTATATGTCAATGTATTTACAATTATGTCTAGTTAGTACTAGTTTAGAGAGAATTTGGGTATGGAAAGGTTAGTCCCGAAGAAGGTTTTCCTGCTGTCTCCAAATTTAGTTAGAGTTGTTTTCTTTTAGTCCAATTTGTAATTAATTTTTATAATTTCTCTCTAGTCAGTCAATACAGAAAATCAATGTGTCCATAATTTTTATAATGCATCGTACTACCGGGTGTAGTTACACCCATTTCTCATATACTACCATGTGATAGTATATACTCTACTTTATTATTTTTAGTATGTTCACATACTATATCTAAGATACTCCAAAGCGAGTTATGTGAAAAAATTGCATGTGAGCCCATGTTTTTATAATATTTGTGAAATACATACATATTTGTACGTACAAAGGAGTATGCTCAAAATATACTACATACTACCTAAAAAATAGTATATATACTACCTAAACATTCTTACATACTACATACTACGCGTACATACTCTCCTATATGATAGATACTACCTAGAACATATGAAACAAAAGTGGGAGTAACTACACCCGGTACATACTCTCCTAGGGTGGGTCTATTATGATAACACCTTTAAGACTCTTATTCTGCTAACACCCTGTTAACCCATTCACCCGAACGGAACAGGCAAGCACCTGACCCACCTCATTCTTCCCGCAACTGACCCCCCCCCCCACCTACCCCCACGAGGCCACGACACGGCCCCCGACCACCACCACTCTTCCACCTTCTCCTC